GGAACATCCCCTAGACTCCGTTGAGGATGTGACCTAGCCCGGTAATGAAACATTCGGAAACCAACCCACAAGCCTGAAGAACAAACCTTCACCCTCATCCTACGCTTGAGTTACAGATATTCACCACTATTGCAAAACTTGTCTTCCCTTATGTTTTTCCAAAATCTGTATCTTTGAGGATATCCAGATCATAAGCCAGTTGGCTCATCCATGTGTTTAAGCTGCATGATTGCACAGCACAAAGAATTACATGAATCTGTTTGGAATAATTCTATCAAAATACTGCATTTGAGGCTCATAACAGGAAAACGTGGGATGGGGATGTAAGAATATTTTCTTATAAACAACTGATTTCAACAGTTCATCATTGCTCTTCACTAACTTGAAGGAAATCTGAAGGTTCTTAGACAAGTATCTTTTCCAGAAAAACAAAGCAAAACAGAATTTGTCAAAGGACTTTCCACTGGACTCTATCACTGGACTCTATTCTTTCAGGCATAGCATTGTTTAGGACTTCTCTTTGATTTGGGGTTTCAGAGATGTTTTCTCCATATACATTAACCTGCGTTTTCTTTCAGAGTTCACTAAAACACCTTCTAGCTGAGATAGTTTCACAACTAACTCTACTAAACCATCATTTGTTGAAAAAGATGCAATGAGCTTATTTAATCCAACACAATATTTATTATGTCTTGTTGTCATGTATGACCCAGGCCAGTTTTTCCTGACTTTGGGAATTCTGAGGAAAGCAACTTTCTTCTATCCTGATGCTGTACTAAAGTTTGCTATAGTATATTGGATTTTAATTAATCGTTAGAAACTCATGGATTTAATCCAGAACTTTTATGGCCATACAAGGAACCTGGATCTCTGTTGGTGGAAAAGCAATCTAAGTAGGATAATAAATGTGATTAAGCCAATTGATATACCATGCCACTTAATTTTTTTCCCTACCAGATACTTTTAAAAAGTATCACAGGAATAAGAGTATGAATTCTCAGCTATTTGTATAGGTTAGGACTTCTATTGTCCTAACCTGGGAGATTCTAGGCTTTGAAGTCCACACCTCTTAAACTTGTTGAGGTTGAGAAACACTGGGGTATGGGTGATCAATACTAGGGATGATGCCACATATCTTATGACATTGTTGCAGAAATGACACAGTGTTGTGCACAGGACATCACTTCCTTCCTCTGTGGATGCCTATGGGCATTTCAGCTATTGGTTTTCATCCTTCCTCCCACCTTCCTTCCAATGAAAGAGAAGGGTGTGAAGGGCGAATCAAAACAGAGCATGATGATCACTACAAGGGAAACTTTTCTTTATGCGTTTATTCATTTTATGATATTTATAGACCACCCTCTTTGTACAATTCTAGACTGTACAAAGATTAAAAACACAGAACTCAATCCCTTCCAGCCAAACTCAACCATAAATATAAAGAACAATAAGAGGACAGCACATCCATCACAACACCTGATTAAATCATATGGCCTTTGCTGCCTTATGAAATATCAGCAGGGAAGATTCAGGTGGCTCCAAAGTGTAGGGGCTGCTACGGAGGAGGTCGGCGGTCTTCAGTGACCCCTAGTTCATGAAATGATTCCCAGAGCAACTGCGGAATATTGCATTATGCTAATTAGATGAATATTATAATTAAATACCAGGTGCTGCAGGAGAGGCAATTGTCATTGGTACTACTGCATGGAAGAAAGGCAGGCATTTAAGCCTTCTCTCCACAATTATCATCTTAGGAAAAGTTGCCCTCCAACTGGTAGCTGAGTGCTCAGATAGCTGCTTTAAAAAGAAATTAGAAAAAATAACGAAAGAAGATAGATCTGTCAACAGCTATTAGTGATGATAACTAAGTGGAATCCCCAGATTCAGGACATAGCTGGGGGTGGAAAGAACAGCAGAGAAAAGGTATTGATTGGGTGTCCTGCTGGGAGCTTCAGAACCATCTGTGTGGCTTCTTCTGGAAACATGACATTGTGGTTGTGCGATCCAGCAGAGCTCTTATGACTTTTTGGGGGGGTGGGGAAGGGAAAGGAAGCAATTTCATCATCCTAAATCCTGCAGTTCCTATCTTCTACGAACTGTATGGGAAGTGGTCATTTCTGTAATCCAAGATGTATCAGGAGACCCCGGGATGGGGAAGGTTGAGACAGTTATGTAATATCATTAAGTAGACCATTTGGTAATCAAACTATGGCAACATTTTTGGATTCAACTTAAACTGACTTTATTGTAGAAATACGCAACAAAATTTCATCTAACATTTGTAGTAATTACTGGGGAGTCCTTGGTGCTCTCTGAACTTGGTTGTTTTCTTGCAGACATTTCATTATCCAAACTAGATAACATCGTCAGGAATTAGCACTGATGATGTTACATAGTTTGGGTAATGAAACCTTTGCAAAAAAACCAACCAAGCTCAGAGAGTACCAAGCACCTCTCCTTTCAACCGTAAGCTATAAATATTCTCCTTTATTGGTAGTAGTTCCTGTTTACTATAATTAAACCAGTTTTCCACAACATGGTGTCATCCAGATTTTTAACTGTGAACTTTATGATCTCAACACCCAGAATGGTAACTGTGGACTCTTGGAATTGCTGTCCAACATATCTGGAGAAGACTAGGTTAGGGGTAATTCTCAACTTAACAACTGTACTGAGCTTGCCTATTACGGTTGTAAGTCAAGTGGGTCACTATACAACCAAACTGATTTTACAAACTTTTTTTCCCCCACATGGAACAGTTTTGCCTAAAGTCAGAAGTAAATACATGAACATCTTGCTGATTTTTGAAAGAGGCTATGAATTAACATAATCTGGAAAATATCTCTCTCTGAGATGGTATAGGTACTCCTGCTTGAGCAGGGGGCTGGACTAGAAGACCTCCAAGATCCCTTCCAGCTTTATTCTATTCTATTCTATTCTATTCTATTCTATTCTATTCTATTCTATTCTATTCCATTCTATTCTATTCTATTCTATTCCGAAGTAAAGAGTCCTCTTTATTTAAAGTAGAACTTTAGGGAAAGAGGAGAAGCAAATTCTTTTCCTTTTGCTGTACTCTCCCCAACTATTTTCATAAAAAATGCTGGTACCAGAATCCAATTCTTGCAAGACTCCAGCTTAAGCTAACTGTGAATTTCTGTTGTACCCAAAGCTTGTAGGAGTATATCTGTTGAAAGTAGGCTGAGAGGGAACAAATGAAGGAGAAATGGAAAGGAAAACAGTGGGCTGCGACATTTATAAAAATAACAATGGAGGGTAATAACTCAGTTTTATGTCTCTTCAATTGTAGCATGTGATTGATGGATCTTAGCCAGTATTCAGAGCTGAGTAATTGCAGGCAATCAATCCCAGATCTTATTCCAAAGCAGAAGAACAGTGACCATTTTTGGAAAATGGCTTGGGACGGTACATTCCTACCTAAGATCTGGAATGTTTGCAGTTATCTCCGAGGTTTATGGCACATCAATATCATGAAAGAGATTTATTCCTATTGTACATAAGAGGGCATTCTTTTATCCCTAAGGATAAAGCCTGCAAAGATCTACACCAGCTGCTTCCAAACTTGGCAACTTTAAGACTAGTGGACTTCAGCTCCCAGAATTCCTCATGAATTCTGGGAGTTGTAGTCCACAAGTCTGAAAGTTGCCAAGTTTGGAGACCCCCGATCTACATCAAAGAATTCCTACTTATGTTCTTTAAACTCAATGGGAGGGCATCTACTCTGCTTTCAAAGGGACCAAGTCTTCCCAAATTCGGACTGGAAACCACTCCAGTCATTGCTATTTGTATTTTAGACAATGCTGAGCTACTACAGCCATTGATACAACTTTAAGTTAACCTTAATAAAAGTGATCTCTATTCAATAAGGGATTTTCTGTTTTAATTTTCCATTCTGTGTTTACTCCAAGGTGGAGACAGTTCGAGTAAGATTGGATTATCCCAATGCAGCTGTTCAATCTAGCAAATGAAGACAGGGCTTTGATTATTATCTTAAATTAATTTTGCGTATTTACTCCCTCGCCAGCTCCTCCGAGATTTTGCTTCGTGGTTGGACCCGCTTTCTTTTGGCATGCGCCCATTCTGACCACCTCCCTTTCACCGCTAAATGAGCGCCCTCTAATAAATTGCCCTGGAAAGGAAACTTCAGTTCAGATTCCCCAAAATATACAACTCTCAACTCGTAAACCAAATTATGACATTTATGCCAGCATAAATCAGGAGTAAATTCAGAAGTCGCTCAGTGGGGCAATGAATCCAGTGTCACAAAAGAGTACCATAAAGCAGTCAAGAATCTGGCACTGTAAGAAACCTGCCTCTGTGGTATGCTTCAATTATCACAAATGCACGTAGTCTGCCCACAGCATCTGTAAGGCAAGGATAGGCCCTCGAGGTCGCGTTCACGTCTGGAACTTTAATGTGACCTTTAGAACTAACTAAATAAATGAATATACAAGTGGAAGAAAATAGATGCCTCAATTTAGCAAGACTGATCATCACAAATGTAGTAAGCTTTCCAATGACTTTTTCAATGACAGGTAGCCCTTGACTTACAACAGTTCTTTTAGTGACAATTCAAAGTTACAGCGGCACTGAAAAAAAGGGACTTATGACTCTTTTTTATACTCACAACCGTTGTGGCATCTCCATGGTGACATGATCAAAATTCAGGCGCTTGGCAACTGTTTCATATTTATGATGGTCGCAGGGTCCCAGGGTTTGGGGGTCATGTGATCACCTTTTTCGACCTTTTGATAAGCAAATTCAACAGGGAAGCCAGATTTACTTAGCAACTGTGTTACTAATTTAAGAATTGCAGTGATTCACTTAATAACTGTGTCAAGAAAGATCGTAAAATGGGGCAAAATTCACTTTCCAACTGTCTCACTTAACAACAGAAAAATTTGGGCTCAGTTGTGGTCATAAGCCGTGGACTACCTGTACCGATCAAAGAGAAGAATTTATGATATATTTCTTTTCAGAGAGAAACCCCGTGGACAGAAGGTGATGGAGACTGCATCCAACCCAACCCTAATTAGGTATGTTCCTTGAGTTAAGCCATGGTTTTACGTGTGATACTTAGGCTAAGCCTTTATTCTCTTTTGGTTCCTTGTTTGAAACATTGGATAATGAACCTGCTTGTTTTCATTGGAATCATTTTGTAACTGTTTTTTTTCCTTTTTCTTCCAAAGACATATTCCCAGCCTGCCTTGTGATGTGACAAGTTGTTTTAAGGGAAGGAATTTGGTTAGATTTCTGCTTTGAATAGATATAGTTACTTTTTCCAGTTTTGGCTTCTCTCAATTTCTGGAAGAAAGTTCAATCTGTGTTTCTCAGAGAGTTCAATCTTAATTTCTGAAGGAAAGTTTCATCTATACCTTCCTAACGAAGGCATTGATTTTGTGACACAGTGGCACAGATGTGGGAAAACCCATGGAAGGTTTGAATGCAGGATGGAACCTGCCTTCAAAACTGCTGTTTCTCTCTCTCCCTCTCTCCCCCTCATTTCTTTTTATCAGAAAGGAGCACAAAATAACAGTGTGAACAAGGCCAAAAATTATTACCCTTAGTCAACCTTGAAGAGGTGATTATATTATCATTATTTGATTTTTTTTTTCCAAACTGAACTTTCTCATTAAAGTCAGAAGCCATTCCTGTCTTTGAGGTGTTGGTAAAATGTCAGAAAGGTCTGGAATTATTTTGATGGAGAGGGCAGCGTCAGGGGGAATCAGTCTAAAACATCTCAGGAAGCAAAAGAAACACAGATAGAATAATCTAAGAAAAGTCACCAGTATCAGGGCTCGGAGGTGTAAAAATAAACTGTGGTCTCCACTTATGTTTACATCCACTGACAAGTGACTGCATTAGCATTAAGTGAAAATGCAAATGAAAAGTAATGCCTTTTTAAAATTTAGCATCTACTTGAGACACTGAAATTGCTGTTGGAGTGTGGAACTCGGCACAGGTCTGTGGACTAAAGAAAGTCCTCATAGAATAAGTAGTCTATAAAATTCAGCATCCTTATATTCCTGTCTGATCTTATATGCTTCTTGAATGCAGTTCCATGAGCCATTATGTGATAAAGAATATCATTTAACACCTCATTATTGAAACTTTCTACACTTAGCTGCCAAAACAGCCAACAACACTCCTAGGCTCCATTAATAGAGGGATAGAATCAAGAACACGTGAAGTGTTAGTACCACATTATAATACCTTTGAAAGACCACACTTGGAATACTGCATTCAGCTTTGGTCTCCACAATATAAAAAAGATGTTGAGACTCTAGAAAGAGTGCAGAGAAGAACAACAAAGATGATTAGGGGACTGGAGGCTAAAACATATAAGGAACGGTTGCTGGAATTGGGTATGTCTAGTTTAATGAAGAGAAGGACTAGGGGGGACATGATAGCAGTCTTCCAATATCTCAGGGGCTGCCCCAAAGAAGAGGGAATCAAGCTATTCTCCAAGGCACCTGAAGGCAGGACAAGAAGCAACGGATGGAAACTAATAAAGGAGAGAAGCAACCTAGAACTAAGGAGAAACTTCCTGACAGTTAGAACAATTAGCCAGTGGAACAACCTGCCTCCAGAAGCGGTGAATGCTCCAACACTGGAAGTTTTTAAGAAGAAACTGGACAACCATTTGTCCGAAATGGTATAGGGTTACCTGCCTGAGCAGGGGGTTGGACTTGATGACCTCCAAGTTCCCTTCCAACTTTATCATTATTAACTATTCTGGAAAGAGTGCAGAAAAGAGCAACAAAGATGATTAGGAGCTGGAGACTAAAACATACAAAGAGTGGTTGCAGAAAGTGGGTATATCTAGTCTAGTGAAAAGAAGGACAAGGCAATGTTCCAATATTTAAGGTGGTGCCATAAAGAAGGGGGGGAGGTCACCCTATTTTCCAGTGCATCTGAAGGCAGGACAATAAGCAATGGATGGAAACTAATCAAGGAGAAAACCCACCTAGAACTAAGGAGAAATTTCGTGACATTGAGAAAAATTAATCTGTGGAACAACTTTCTTCTAGAAGGCGTGGATGTTACATAACTGGAGGTTTTAAAAAGAGACTGAACAGCCATTTGTCTGAAATGGTATAGGATCTCCTGTTTGAGCAGGAAGTTGGACTGGAACATGTCAAAGGTCCCTTCCAACTCTGTTATTCTTTTACTATGTTATGGATGGTGGAGATACCTCCCAAAATTATTGCTCATATCAATCACATGTTATTCATTTTGTCTCCACTTTTCTTGTTTTAGTCTGTAGAAACTTTGTTTGCAAGGCTGTGCAAGCTAGTGGGAGAATGTGCAAATTGGTCAAAGACCAAAACAAAATGCATAGCTGGATTGATAGGCTAGCATTGTAGTGTGCCTTTTGTTCCTGTTTAAGATACCAGCCCATCATGTGTTCCTGTCTTATTTGCACTGTTGTTGTTTTTTAAAATACAGAGTTGTGTATGGCTGTTAAATTAAGTGCATGAGTCTCAAAGAATAGGAAAAAAAAGGAATGTGCTGATACAGAATACTTGGACTGTTTGTTAGCAAGTATATTGGAAAAAATCCATCCCCTTTAACTGGACAATCTCATCATATTAAAAGTTATGGATTTCTTGCTTAAGCATTCCACATCAGATGTGGAAATTTTGCTTCTGATTATTCTATTTTTTGAGATGAAATCTTCAAAAATACTGATGGATCAGTTTAATAAACAGAAATCTTGCTGTATGGACAACACATTAAAATGAGCTAAAAAACGATAAACTGAGGCTAGATTTACATTACCACTGTAAGGCACAAGTTGTATAACACACCTTATCCTAAACCATGAATTCTTGGCTTAAACCCCAAGGCTGAGTTGATACAAAATATTAAACCATTTTATCAGCCATTGTAGCTGTGGCTGAAAAATACTTTTAAGCAAAGGTATGCATATTTTTATTTTAAAAGTGTGCCTTTTTAAGGATTTAAGTGCATGTTTTATTAATTGTACTGTGGTTGGGGGATGAATGCAATTTAAAATCAACAAATTAGCTTTACACATTTGTACTTATTATTTTTATGGTAATGGTATTGTCATTAGCCAAATGTTGAGATCACGTGGGTACAATGTTTCTCAAGAGGGCTGATGGATTTTCCCCAGTCAAACTAGATGAATTGAGAAACTTGATTTTCTTGGAATGAAATGCCGCTATGAAGTGAGTCTATGGGGAGATAGAAGGCTATTTTTCCTATGGCTGTTTTGATCAAAACTACTTTTATGCCACCTATGGTTAAAAAATTCCAAGAAACTTTTCCAACCCAGAAAAAAAATGATCTTGGGTATGCGCATACATACACCTGTGATCTTGATTGTAAAAACAGGAGGTTAACTATCACTCTCCAGCTATGTTCCCTTGATTGGTAATAATACCTTACATTTGTCTTATATTTGCAAGGAAAAAGTAAATGGATTTGTTTGTCTCTTTTATTGTGGAAAAGAAAACTGAGGACATGAGAGTATACTTTGTTTAAAATATATTGCATCTATCTGTCTGTCTGTCTGTCTGTCTATCTATCTATCTATCTATCTATCTATCTATCTATCTATCCATCCATCCATCCATCCATCCATCCATCCATCCATCCATCCTGTTTGTGTGTGTATATATACAGATGGTTAAAAATGGTTAAGTTGGGTATTTATAGATTTACAGTTCTTTGGAAACTGCCCTCTGTAGCCACTTGCCAGTTGATTTCATTGGAAATAAGTTGATTGACAATTTGTTCATTACACCTAGTTTCACCTTCTGATCAGTTTTGTGATCCATTGTGCAGAATTGAGAAGTGTAAAATTATCAAAAAATGCATTTTAGATAAACTATAAAAATGAAGCCTCTTTATAATGAGTTATCAACCTGCTTGTGTCCAACAAATTGAAAACGATGGGTTCAAATCTAAACCAGCATTTTGATAGACAGACTCTGCAGAAGTGAAGTGGGGAATTCTCATTGCCCCATAATCTTTATTTAATTAATTTATACCCTGTCTTTATTATTGTTGTTATTATTTAAACCAGGCAGCAAACATGTCTCTTATTCCTTCTTCCTCATAACAATAATCCTGTGAGGTGGGTTGGGTTGAGAGAGAGTGACTTATCCAGAGTTATCCAGCCAGCTTTCATGTCCAAGGCAGGATTAGAACTCTCACCTCCTAATCATTGGCTCAAAGTCACTCAGGCAAGTTTCATGCTTAAGGCAGGAATACAACTCACTGTTTTCTGTTGATTGGCCCAAAATCATCCGGCTAGCTTTCCTGCTTTAGCAGGACTAGAACTCACAATCTCCTTATTTCTAGCCTGGTGCCTTAACCACTGGATCAGGGGTCCCTAGCCCCTGGTCCATGGCCCAGTACCAGTCCGTAGCATGTCAGCAACCGGGCCACACAGGATACAGGATACAGGCAGCACGCAAAACCACACCTCCTCCGGTCCATGGAAAAATCTCTCTCCATGTAACCGGTCCCTGGTGCCCAAAAGGTGGAGGATCTCTGCACTAGATCAAACTGGCTCTCTGCATGCAAACTGCATGAGGTTCAAAAGCATCATGGAAAGCATTCTAATCTGGATCCTTAGGCTCTATTATTGTGCCAAGTCTATAGCATTTGGAATGCAAAATGGCTAAGGTCTGTCTATTAAAAAAACATAAGAAGTCCCAAATTTAAAAAAACAAAACAACTTTATCTAATGTTTGGAGAGTATATAGGTATGTGTTTGCATGTTCATATTTTCAGATACATAGTTTCTACTTCAATACAAAAGAAATACAAAATACAAAAGAAAAAAGGGGGAAAAACACTTTGGGATCCTGTGACCCTGCAAACACAAAATTCATGTATCTCACCCTGGGACAAATGCCTTCTTTTAAACAGCAGTATTTGGGCAGCCTTGGACGATGTTAGTTTATTGTCACTGCTTGATAACGTTTAATGGAAAAGATACAAGAGTGCCAAAGAATTTTAATTATTTTTGTGATAAAGTTATATGTTCAGCCTTGAAAAAGTGAAGATAATGCTGGGATTCATTATTATTCCCAGTGTGTTTAAACAGACGACACAGAAGGCAAACAAAAGCAGATGAAATTTGAAAAGTATTATCAATATTGCAGATAGCAGATGCCCTTTCCAATCAGAACAAGAATATCTTCTATAGCAACTTTATGGTTGAGTAGTTTATTCATTTCTATTAGAAGGTTGTACGTTTCTAAAATATGTAGATGATATCTAGGAAACCAACCAACCAGGAGGGTCATTTTGCTTGTTTTCCTAAATTTATTATTTGTACTTTTGCAGGTTTGATCTGAGGAGCGTTAACACGAAATCTTGTTGCCTTAGAATTCTGTCTCATGTATTTGACCTTTTGTGTGGTGTACCATGGCGTGTGTAAGGGAGGAGGAGTCACATTATTGCACTGTAAAAGGTAAGTGTTAAGCTTGTGTGAATGATCCAATCAAGCTGAATATATGTGCCCCAGGATAATGTTGCAGGATCCAATCTGGCTCAGTCACCAGGACCAAAGGTTTAGTCTTCCGATCTTTTGGACTTGTGCTGGACCCCATCTAAGAAGTTCTTTGAAGATGGGCTCCAGAACGAATCCAAAGGCTTGGAAGACAAAATGTCTGGTCCTGGTAACCGACCCAGATTGGATCCGGTTAGGTTTTCATTTGGGCATTTGTATATTTAAGGTATGATGGTAAAGGAAATGTTTTATCTGATATAGATATTTTTGCCTGATTTTAAAAGTGTAAGAAGAAGAATCCTCTTTTTAAAGTGGAGAGTAGGATCCACTTCACCTGTGTAAACCTCAGTTCCTAACTGAACCCCTTCATTTTTCCCAAACATGCATAAATAGGGAATTGAATTCTGATTGAGGCTAATAACCAAATAACACATACAAGACAAAAAGAAAATTTGAGAGCAATATCTAGTTATGCTGATAATTTACAGGCATATATCTATATACACATATATAGAACAGTGATGTGAACTTTTTCTTTGATAGTTCTGTTTGGTGAATGTGACTGTTTTCATGTGCTATATAAATTCAATGCGTAAAGCCTTCTGTAGGTTAAATTTGACTCTTGAAAGACATGCCCAAATTATTTTGGAATAATTCAGAAATACCGAGAAAAGATAATATTTGTACTTCAGTTTTGATCTGTGGGGTCCTAGATGCTCACTGAGCCTGGTGATTTGCTTGCAGACATTTTTGGAAGGTGTTTCAGCTCTGATGATGTTACCTAGTTGAGGTAATGAAAGAAAACCACCAAGCTCAGAGAGCACCAAGGATCCCACAATTCAGAAATAATCCGTCTTCTTCCTAGATATTTTTTTTCCTATTTTCCACTCTAATCTACAGTCTTACCTGATCAGGTAAGATGGCTATATGCCAGCATCTAATTGGGTAAATGGCAATCACATAACCTCAGGACACTGCCCAAATTTTGATCATATGACAGTAAGGAATCTGCGACAAGGGTAAGTGCGAAGACTATTGTAAATCACTTTTTTCAGTGCCGTCGTCATTTTGAACTAAATGAATCATTGTAAGTCAAGGAGTTCCTGTAGTTGCTGCCAGGTTTAGCAGCCTGAATATGCAAGTGCTCACTAACATGTTTTATTGGCTGGAAGCATCTTATCTGCTGTACTTGTTCGCGTAATTTTTTTAAGAAAAAATATGGGTAAATTGACTGTCTCCAGTTTTTATAAACCGACCGATATCTGGTTATTTTTCATTTGAGCAAGATCACAGCATATGCCTTGCATGAAAAATAAATAACATTTTCAAACTATAGGAAACCCCTTTTGATGGTAACGGTATTGATCCTCTCAAGTTTCTTGCATGTCTTATCTATATTATATTCAAAGACTATTAGAATATTTGTGGAAGAAATCTCTGCCAGCCCGGCTCAGCTGATTTAATGCATTGTTAAAGTAGCTGTTTAAAGCTGGTGTATGGTGAGAAACTTCTTGTGATGAGATGCGCACTGGTATAAGTTTTATTTATTACATGCTTCTCACTGAGCACAGCACAGAGGCCATTGAAAATGCCACATAATGTGGTAATTTCCTGCCTGCTTTTCTTTCCACCACTAACGTAATTAGGAAATTTGGATATATTTCCACATTTTAGTTTTGCTGACATCAAATTGAATTTGATAGTCTGATGCATCACACAGTACAGATTAAAATGATTGTTCAACCCTTGCATTAATTCAATGTTATTTTTTAAAATGTTATTCAATGTTATTTTTTTTTTTTAAAAAATAAACAAGAATGCTCAGTGTTGAGAATCTTCAAACAAAACTGTATAGTTGGCATAGGAGAAATCCTCCTTTTTATAAACAGACCTGGGATTTTCAGTTGAATACAATTGAGCTAACTAAAATAATTAAATTACATTCATAGCTAGCCTTCTTCTCTTCACCCTCCTCTTCCTCCTCCCTATGTTTTTATTCCCCATGTGGTCTTGTTCTGTCTAGATTCTTCCTTCAATCCAACTCCCCTTCCTTCTCCCCCCTCCCTTCCCCTCCTCCTCCTCCTCCTCCTCTTTCTCATGTGGCAGAATGTTCCACAGGCTGACAGTTCACCCAAACCAGGAACTTCCTGACTAGATAACGCTAAATGCCGTCTTCTGCCTAGTTCTGGAGTATCACTGTCCTTCTACTGCTACTCAAACACCTCTAAAAGACCTGAGATCCCTAAAAGTTGATGTTAAACCTTAAATGTTAATATGACAAAGGGTGAGATTATTAAATATATGATAGGAGAGCAATCCTATTAACCACATTTAATTTTAATTAATTTCAAATGTAAGTGACATTAAGTAACATTTAGCATTTCTCTTAGCCTGCCTGTTACTTTTAGTGGGTGACTCAAGACATTCCATTCCAAAACGAACTGGAATTTTCCTAGTTAGTCAGGGTTTTGTTTTGTTTCTTTGAAAAAGATTGTTCCTGTATCCTAGAAGGGTGCTCTGCCACTGATATCTGTTGGTTGCTGTCATGGACTTCTGTTCCCTGTAGAAGCTCCCAGCACATTGACAATTGCAGACATGGCATTAAGTTACCCTAAAGCAGTGATGGCTTTAGAGACCAAGTGCCCAAACTGCAACCCCAAAACCCACGTATGTATCGCCGGGTGCCGGGTGGGTGTGGTCCACTTGGTGGGCGCAGCTACAGTGGGTGTGGCAGACTGGGTGGGCGTGGCCACTGGATGGGTGTGGCTGCAGTAGTTATGGCAGATTGGGTGGGCATGGCCAGGGTGGGCGTGGCCACCTCGATGTTGCTTATGGGGAGGGACACCTGTGGGAGTCAGGCAGGGCAGGATTAGTGGAGATCCAGGGGGTCTCTGGCAGGTGGGATGGTGGGCTCCCCAATGGCAGCTCTGAGATGGCTGGCCTTAGGCCAGTGATGGCGAACTTTTAGAGACCATGTGTGCTGGGGTGATGGCATGTGCCCACAGAGAGGGCTCCACGTGCCGCCTCTGGCCCACGTGCCATAGGTTCGCCACCACTGCCCTAAAGTCTTTCCCAAAACTTCGGCGGCGGAGGAGGAAGAGGAGGAGGAGGAGGAGGAGGAGGAGGAAGTGATTTCCCATTTTTAGAACTAGAAATCTAGTTGTTAAAATCAAAACATTTCCCATCTCCCGTAAGACACCCAAAAGGGCAGATAGAATCTAGTTACCTCTTTGTCTGCCCTCCTCGGGTCTCCATATATGATATATCATCCTCTGTTTAACGCAATGCAACCTGCAATTTTGTCTTTAAGAGAGAAAACACTGTCGGACCCAATGCCCAGAATAAAACATAATCTCAGTGCAAAAGTGATTAAAATGAAAAGAAACAGGCATTGCGGTTCTTTTCCCCAGAAAAGTACATCCGCAGGTTTCTTGCCCTTGCCCTATGATTATATAATAGATTTTAAGTCTCTGATATCTGCAAATCTACATCAAAATGTATTCTATAGCTGGAGGAAACAGCTCTGAATTGTTAACCTTCTCCCCAGGAACTGAGGCGACACACTGCGAGATTAGATGTATATTTCCTTGGAGATATGCCACCCATAGAGGAGTCCATATTTACATCTTTTGTTGATATTTTTTATAGATTAAGAGTCTCTTTACTTTGGTGATAATTCTTCTAAGTACTGTAATTTGCTGCCTCTAATATTTGTCTTGAGTCATAGTTTGCAAAATATATTTGAAACCACTTTATAAAGTCGCATAATTGCTTCTTTGTAAAGCAGCTCTAATGAGTAGTTTCTTTATCCAGCCTTTATCCTGTTAACCTTAGAGGTGAGTGATTGCTTGCTGGAGTAGTTGGGAATGTCTTAGTGCTATTGAGCTATTTAATTTCAGGACTAATTTCATAGTCCTGGGCACGAGCGAGCCAGCAGTTAATTTGAGGCTCTCCATTTAGGACACTGCAGAAATAAAACGGAAGGAAACGCGTGTGTGTGAAATGCGAGATGTAGCGACTCGGTTAATATTTACATGCATGAATAATAGCGTAGTAGGGCAATTCACAAAATACTCTGGCGATGGGAGGTAACTCGATGTCATGCAAAAATATCATAGCTTGTATCTCTTCTTCTCTACAAACTCATTCACTGTTGGTGCCCACTGTTCCTGTCCTTTCAAGATACTTTTAAGGAAAATGCAATCCTTTTCAGAAACGACATAGGACCGTCAATATCTTTATTGTATTTTTCCTTTCTTTGCAGTTTTTCTCCCTTTGTGGTTATGGTCCTTCAAGTCAATCAGTCCTGGTGATTACATGGTTAGATAGTTTTTCTGATCATATTTTCAGAAATGGTTTACTTTTGCTTTCTTCCTGGGGTTCGGAGAATGGAACTAGCCCAAGTTTCTCCAACTACTTGATCCTGGTTTCCTACTCAAGGGAGCACTAAAACTCAGACTTTTTTTTTCATTCCTAGGACATTCATTATGCCACTTAGTGCCCCACCCAGTAAAAAGTATATGTATATAAAATATTGAGTAGTTTGTTTGTTTGTTTGTTTTAAAAAATATCATGCCCTCGAGTTGGTGTCATTTAAATGCACATTTAAACTAGCAGCCTGGTTAATAAAAATACAGTGTTTAAAATAAAACTGCAAGAGATTGTAACATAGAATTGGAAAATTCTATAAGCGTTCTTAAAAAGAAGTCACAATCTTCTGAAAAGTAAGAGGGAGAGACTAAACAAAGAGCCATTTTGGAAATGAACGAACCTTCCATTGTCTATTGCAGGAACTCCAATCTTGGCAACTTTAGGACTTGTGGACTTCAACTCCCAGAATGGCTGGCTGAAGAATTCTGGAAGTTGAAGTCTGCAGTCTTAAAGTTGTCAGATTTTTAGACCACTGGTCTACTGAATATTAGAGGACATTTTATATATAGATAATTCACAAATAAGTATCA